ACGTCCTCTGTACCGACCACGTTCTCTGTACCGACCACGTCCTCTATAACGACCACGTCCCACGTCCTCTGTAACGACCACGCCCTCTGTACCGACCACGTTCTCTGTACCGACCACGCCCTCTGCACCGACCACGTTCTCTGTACCGACCACGCCCTCTGTACCGACCACGTCCTCTGTACCGACCACGTCCTCTGTAACGACCACGTTCTCTGTACCGACCACGTTCTCTGTACCGCCCTCTGTAACGACCACCACGTTCTCTGTACCGACCACGTCCTCTGTAACGACCACGTCCTCTGTACCGACCACGTCCTCTGTACCGACCACGTCCTCTGTACCGACCACGTCCTCTGTACCGACTACGTCTTCTGTACAGACCACGTCCTCTGTAACGACCACGTTCTCTGTACCGACCACGCAATCTTTTACGACCACGTTCTCTGTACCGACCACGCCCTCTGTAACGACCACATTCTCTGTACCGACCACGCCCTCTGTACCGACCATGTCCTCTGTAACGACCACGCCCTCTGTACCGACCACGTCCTCTGTACCGACCACGTTCTATGTACAGACCACGCCCTCTGTAACGACCACGTTCTCTGTACCGACCACGCCCTCTGCACCGACCACGCCCTCTGCACCAACCACGCCCTCTGTACCGACCACGTCCTCTGTACCGACCACGTCCTCTGTAACGACCACGTCCTCTGTACCGACCACGTTCTCTGTACCGACCACGCCCTCTGTACCGACCACGTCCTCTGTACCGACCACGTTCTCTGTACCGACCACGCCCTCTGTACCGACCACGTCCTCTGTACCGACCACGTCCTCTGTACCGACCACGCCCTCTGTACCGACTGAGCCCTCTGTAACGACCACGTCCTCTGTACTGACCACGTCCTCTGTATGGTCCATGTCCTCTGTACCGACCACGTTCTCTGTACCGACCACGTTCTCTGTACCGCCCACGTCCTCTGTAAAGTCCATGTCCTATATAATGACCACATCCTCAATAGTCAGGACGTATAGTTTGACAGTGGCCACCATCCTGTACTCACCTATAGCCGGGATGAGTTGTCTGACAGTGGCCACCATCCCGAACTCACCAATAGCCAGGATATGTTGCCACCATCCTGTACTCACCTATAGCCGGGATGTGGTTTCTGACAGTGGCCACTATCCCGTACTCACCAATAGCCAAGATGTGTTGCCACCATCCTGTACTCACCTATAGCCGGGATGTGTTGTCTGACAGTGGCAACCATCCTGTACTCACCAATAGCCAGGATGTGTTGTCTGATAGTGGCCACCATCCTGTACTCACCAGTAACCAGTATGGGTTGTCTGACAGTGGCCACTATTCTGTACTCACCTATAGCCGGAATGTGTTGTCTGACAGTGGCCACCATCCCGAACTCACCAATAGCCAGGATGTGTTGCCACCATCCTGTACTCACCTATAGCCGGGATGTGGTTTCTGACAGTGGCCACTATCCCGTACTCACCAATAGCCAAGATGTGTTGCCACCATCCTGTACTCACCTATAGCCGGGATGTGTTGTCTGACAGTGGCAACCATCCTGTACTCACCAAAAGCCAGGATGTGTTGTCTGATAGTGGCCACCATCCTGTACTCACCAGTAACCAGTATGTGTTGTCTGACAGTGGCCACTATCCTGTACTCACCTATAGCCGGGATGTGTTGTCTGACAGTGGCCACCATTCTGTACTCACATATAGCCGGGATGTGTTGTCTGGCAGTGGCCATCATCCTGTACTCACCTATAGCCAGGACGTGTTGTCTGACAGTGGCCACCATCCTGTACTCACCTATAGCCAGGACGTGTTGTCTGACAGTGGCCATTATCCTGTACTCACCTATAGCCAGGATGTGTTGTCTGACAGGAGCCACCATCCTGTACTCACCTATAGCCGGGATGTGTTGTCTGACAGTGGCGACCATCCTGTACTCACCTATAGCCGGGATGTGTTGTCTGACAGTGGCCACCATCCTGTACTCACCTATAGCCGGGATGTGTTGGCTGACAGTGGCCACCATCCTGTACTCACCTATAGCCGTGATGTGTTGTCTGACAATGGCCACCATCCTGTACTCACCTATAGCCAGGACCTGTTGTCTGACAGTGGCGACCATCCTATCCAGAGCGTGCATTTCCTTCCATAGAAATTAGTGGAATGGTGTGAGTGGACAAAAAACAGTATTTAATATTGAGAAAAGGCAACTCTTAGTTAATGTTCATATCAGATGCAAGGGAATGTAGTACATTCTCTCAGTTTGATCGAATACTCTTCATGTATGGAGTAAGTTTTGCAGTCAGTTTGTAATGAGTCCTCTCTCATGCCCTTAGGTAATGCTTAACAAATCATGGTGTAGAATCCTTTCTTGTGTTACCCTCGATGTTAATTCAGTACTTCTTATCAGACACAAGGGTATTCCAGCTGCCGTAGGTTGAGAGCACGCGGAACAAGACAGTAGATACAGAGGAAGCGTCATCACTCGCCATTGCCTCCATGTAGACAAATTTACTGAATATTTTACAAACAAAACACAAGTGAATATTTCTACAGCTGCCAGAAAAAAACTTTTTTCCGAAAGAACCGAAAGCGTCGACATACGGAATGGAGTACTAAAGGAGTTAAGTAGGTGACGATACCAGACTGGGTATGACATCGTGTCAGTTTGCTTTTGTTGACATGACACTCACGAACCCACATAAACTGCCACTCTACCTGTCATACGGTGGAAAAGTTGTGGTCCTTAATTTTATCGTTAGTGTCGTGTATCATGACTCCCCATAGAGCTGCCATGAAAACACGGAAGAAAACAAGAAAATACCAACATGTCAACGTAATTATAATCTAACAAGGTCTACCCTGGTTGTCGTATACATAGATAAGAAAGAAGTGGACAGTATTTCGATCTGCTTGGATTACTCCCCTTTCACGACGCTTTCGATACCTTTTTAAACAAACAGTATAACGTGGACATATAACCCTGTTCGAATACGGCAACTGAACTCTCTAGTATACGGCCAGCACTGTATTTTCAATTTGGTACACAGAGAAAGAGGATGGCGATGTCTATCTTAACGGAAATTCTTAGAAAAACAATTCGATGCAACCCATTTTGAGGCCAAAAATATTTTTCAAAAGAAAAGTTTTGCAAAAAAGAAATGTAAGATGTAAATATTTTTGTATTTCGAATGCTTTTTTTAATTAAACAATGATATTTTGTGAATAAAAATGTAAAGTGTTTAAATTTTGTCAATAAATACAGCATGCAAATAACAGCAGTACACAAAACAATTACGTACTTTACTATAGCTAAAATCATCAATGACGTCATCAAAACCAACCCGTCAGTCGAAATACGTTATCTACCATAGCTAAATACATCAATGACGTCGTCAACCCGTTAGTCGAATTACGTACTTTACTATAGCTAAAAACATCAATGACGTCGTCAAAACCAACCTGTCAGTCATAGGAGGACACAACTGAAACGGTGCAAGCAAAACAGGGGAGATAAATAGGCGATAACTCAAGAGTGATGACGTCACATGATGATATGATGTTATGAGGTTTTTGGGCAATCGGGAACCCCCGGCACTTTCCGCAAGTGCCGAAGGTTCCCGATTTGGTTTGTGGGGTTGCTAAGGGCGCCTACTTATCTGAAGGATAACGCTTAAGTAACGCACCTGCCTTACACCTTGCCGTCCGGGGTTCGATGCCCGGAATGGACGTGAAAAAGGTGATGGTCACCTGCCCGACCGTGTTCGGTCCCCCTGGGTACTCGGTTTCCTCCCAGAACAGACCACACAGAAATACTAGCCAACAAGAGTAATTCATATAAGTTGAAATAATTTGTTTCGCAATGGTTGTAAAATAGATAAAAGTAAAAAGTAAAAAAGGCTGAATGCGGCATCTAATTTTTCGGCGGAGATTTCCTTGTTCTCAATAAGACAGAAACTTATCTCAGAAACGACTTGAATCATCAGAACTAACTAGGAATGTTACGCAGTTCAGATATTCTGATGGCACACCTGTACAGTGCGGCCGTTTGTTAGTGGGCATGTGTAATCGTTCATTAGGCAATGTGAGGTACGTGCAAATTTGTCAGTTAACACTCTTTTTGATAGGATAAGATTAAATGTATCATCATGGTGATGTAGAGAAATTAGCAAATGAAACAAAAGTATTCAACTTCTTTCAGTGAGTTCCCGACATTTTCCACACGTGTTACCGTGGGTATCTGAACAGAGCATGGGAACGAAACAGTTCGACATTTTTACCGTCAGATCACTTTACCATTGTTGGAATAGTTACTCATCAAGCTGTGTGGAAGTAGAAGTTGTGCTTGGCAGGATAGCAATTACATACTCATAGATTCTTTCATCTTGTTTTTTGTTATTTTCATTATTAATTATTTTTTTCTAAATATCAACTCGAACATAGTATTGCAAAATCCGGAAAGCTAGAAGGGAAATAACTGAGCATCTATTTATCATACGAAGCTGCGGGACACATAAAGCTAGACAAACTGCATTGCGGCCGTGCAGAATCACCCCGATTTATCAAGTTAACGCTGCGTGCTATATAACCCGCCCGATATTGAAGTATGATCGTCGAACCGTTAACAACATTTACTTGCACAGTTGAAAACATCTACCAATATATAAATGTTTTACGATGGACATTTACCTCAGAATCAGGTCTATCGAGCTATGATTTGTCTTTCTTTACACTTGATTTATTCTCTCTATCCTAAAGACATGTAATCGCCTTCAAAGCTACAGCCCGGGAACTATCTCCATAATAACGTTAGAGGAACACCATTCCACAAGCCCCTGAAGGGAGATTGGGGCGATGTAATAGGCAAGACGGGAGACAATGACCAGAGCCCTATCACAGGAAAAATAAGTCCCGAAGGCCGCCCTAAATGTCTTCTGGTTCAAATACAAAGGCTAATCATGAAAGCAGAAATCGCATTTGCCATGAATATAGATAAATCTCTGCTGACGGTAGGCGTTGCCTAAAATGGTTTTGTTGACAGCACAGACAAACATTGATAGAGTCTGATACAGTTGTAACGTCGGGAAAGCGTTCGGGATGATTTCGAAACAATATCAGTATGTACTTAATAACAAAATAAACATTATTGTGATTTTTTTTCAGGCTTGCATGATGTCTAGATTTACAAAATGTATTTAACAGGAAATTATTCATATTTTTGTTTGTTTTATTCTCTGTCTCTGATTTTATACTGAAACTGTTCCTTAGTGCTGATTAAATAAATCTTGCAAGTTTGAAAAATAGTGAAATGTAAATGCAATAATCTATATTTCCTGATATAAGTCCCTCCCTCCCATCACTCCTCGCCCCCTCAGCCTCCTCAGCCTCCTCTACCGTATTTACCCTCTAGTTCCCTGAGGGTGCCACAATCAGTGACGGGAGAAATCATGACGTAGCCACAATCAGTGACGGGAGAAATCATGATGGTGCCACAATCAGTGACGGGAGAAATCATGAGGGTGCCACAATCGGTGACGGGAGAAATCATGACGTAACCACAATCGGTGACGGAAGCAATCCTAAGGGTGCCACAATCAGTGACGGGATAAATCATGAGGGTGCCACAATCAGTGACGGGAGAAATCATGACGTAGCCACAATCAGTGACGGGAGAAATCATGATGGTGCCACAATCAGTGACGGGAGAAATCATGAGGGTGCCACAATCGGTGAGGAGAGAAATCATGACGTAACCACAATCGGTGACGGGAGCAATCCTAAGGGTGCCACAATCAGTGACGGGATAAATCATGAGGGTGCCACAATCAGTGACGGGAGAAATCATGACGTAGCCACAATCAGTGACGGGAGAAATCAGGAGGGTGTCACAATCAGTGACGGGAGAAATCATGATGGTGCCACAATCGGTGAGGAGAGAAATCATGAGGGTGCCACAATTGGTGACGGGAGAAATCCTAAGGGTGCCACAGTCAGTGACGGAAAACACCATATCAATAGTTAAGAAGGTTTTTGTGTGGATATGGTCGAGTTTAGAATTTCCTTTACTTAAAGTTGTTGACTCTTTAGCAATGTTTGAGCCTTGCCTTGTCTACACCAAGTAAGACAGCATCATACATTTAGAGGTGAAGACTTGATCGCTCACTTTATGTCGTTAGATCAAACTACCGATTTGTGTTATTTTTGGGCCTCGTACAAAGGTGGGATACGGGGCGGATTTCCAGTCACATAACGGGACTCTTACTGACCTGACAGTGTTCTAGTTTAATTTTCACCCTCAGCCTTTTAAAGTTTATAGTTAAGTTCCTGTTGCGCTTCCGTGAATCAGATTCGATATAAGATACATAATCAGAGATCGCTTTGGAGAGTTTGTGATTGTCTCTACACACAAGACTCAGTAGGGAATTCTAACACTTCAGTCTCCGACACTGTTTATCTTTCTTCATGGTTCATGCCTGTTTTCTTCCGATCTTCGTTTTCTGTTTCCTTCCTCTTATTTAAAGGATTTAGGTAAAAATAAAACTACCCGTCATGTACCCAGAGAATACTTGGTAATTTCCACAATGCCTGGAATTACCGAGACAATTATTTCATCATTTCGGAGAGATTAAGAAACATAGTGTCGTTTTACTCTTAAGGAGTGCGTAATTTTATATCAAGACATCGGGAAATCATGTAAAGGGCTGTTTTGCTACATACAGGTGCTGTACAATCAAACTTTCACGATTGTAAATATTGTCAGAAACAAAAAATCTAAAGTAAAAGTTTCTTAATCAAAATGTAAATATGTACTAGCGACTGTATTTTGTAACATTCTCAAATCAATGACCGTTCTCTTTACACAATGTGTTTAGGCCATCAGATAACATAACATAGCAGAAATTGACCATACAAACATGAAAAAAGGCAAAGGCCAATATCGATTGCTATATTGGATAAATCGGGTCAAGCACGCGCCGCTCAAACGCCGTGTAATTGTCATATAGCCATAAACTAGGATTTAAAATTGCACTAATGAGTAAACCACCCCGACGACATTATTAAGTCAGGAGCGTTGCCAATTGTACGCTAACATCGTTACCAACGACTGGGGATTTTGTGAGAAGATGTTTAAGGAACAGCTGGACGGTGCATGTCTTTCTTACGAGAAAACAACACAACATTAAGATTTTTAGTTTATTTTCAAAAGTGGTTCCGATAAAAATGGCTAATTGTTATTATATTTCTAGAGAGGACTGTCTGAGGGAGATGATTTCAACAACGGTTATGTTTGCCTATCAACAAGTATGGTAATATAGTCAAGTGCAACAGAAAACGGGTTCATCTAACATGAGTATGTTTTATGTAAAACTGATAGAAATGCTACAACGTGTACAAAAACAGCTCGGATAAATGCCACGTATATATGGTATACAAGAATTTTTTTATTCATTTTTCATTAATTTCTGAACCTGCAATGAAACTGTATTACTATTGGGTGACTTGGTACATGCGCACCAAGTAAAATATAGAATTATACCAATGTAAATATACTTTGAGAAGTAAACACGATAACAAAATCATAAAAAACGCGAAGGATACAGTAATAACATCAATATTTTCATCTTTTTCCTCACATTTAAACCATGTTTATATAAGATTAAGATATGAAGAATGCTTATATAAGATATGTCAGAGACACTTCAATTCCATTACAGTAACATGATCAAGCTGTCTATACGTCCTGACAATGTCAGCTACTCCACCAGATACTTCACCAGTACAGCCCAAATTTGGACTCCAAATCACTCTCTCGTGTACGTCATAGCGTTAACCACGAATACTTCGATCGGCCAATCACAGTTATTTCTAGATTAAATTATCCTGAGTTACAAAGCTTGTGTGTCTTGTTCTACAGTTCTGATGTCATACACCAGTCCTCCAGGGGTATCTTACTAACAACATACGTACAAGGTAAACGTCAGTCGGCGGTGATTACTATACTGGGCGGTAAAGCTTCCTCCAACAGTTCCCTCGTGTCTGATCCGGGTATAGGAAAGAAGAGTAAACGTATGATATCTTTCCTTTAAAGATAGATAACTGTTATGAGGCTCGTTATTTTGTAGTGTTGTCATGGTAATGACGTTTCAGTCATGTGTCTGTTTTTTCATGAATCTGATGAAAAAAAAAGAAAAAAAAGATAATTCGGACAGGTAAAGAAATCTGTATGGTCATAAAAAAAGTGATAAGTACAAAAAGAACAAGATCACGTGTTTCGAAAATCTTTCGGTTCTTGGTCAATCCAAGTAAATGATGAGACGTTCCGGGTCTTTACTAAAGAGACCCTACGGCAGATAACTAGTTTCGAAGACATTCCCTCCTGAACACTGTAAGCCCTACCTACTGAGCGAAGACATATCCTCCTGAACACTGTATGTCCTACCTACTGAGTGAAGACATTCCCTCCTGAACAATGTATGCCCTAACTATTGAGTGAAGACATTCCCTCCTGAACACTGTTTGTCCTATCTATGGAGTGAAGACATTCCCTCCTGAAAACTGTTTGTCCTACCTACTGAGTGAAGACATTCCCTCCTGAACACTGTTTGTCCTACCTATGGAGTGAAGACATTCCCTCCTGAACACTGTATGTCCTACCTACTGAGTGAACACATTCCCTACTGAATACTGTTTGTCCTACCTACTAAGTGAAGACACTCTCTCCTGGACACTGTATGCCCTACCTACTGAGTGAAGACATTCCCTACTGAATACTGTTTGTCCTACCTACTAAGTGAAGACACTCCCTCCTGGACACTGTATGCCCTACCTACTGAGTGAAGACATTCCCTCCTGAACACTGTATCCCCTACCTTCTAAGTGAAGACACTCCCTCCTGAACACTGTTTGTCCTACCTACTGAGTGAACACATTCCCTACTGAATACTGTTTGTCCTACCTACTAAGTGAAGACACTCCCTCCTGAACACTGTATGCCCTACCTACTGAGTGAAGACACTCCCTCCTGAACACTGTATCCCTTACCTTCTAAGTGAAGACACTCCCTCCTGAACACTGTTTGTCCTACCTACTGAGTGAACACATTCCCTACTGAATACTGTTTGTCCTACCTACTGAGTGAAGACACTCCCTCCTGAACACTGTATGCCCTACCTACTGAGTGAAGACACTCCCTCCTGAACACTGTATCCCCTACCTTCTAAGTGAAGACACTCCCTCCTGAACACTGTTTGTCCTACCTACTGAGTGAACACATTCCCTACTGAATACTGTTTGTCCTACCTACTGAGTGAAGACACTCCCTCCTGAACACTGTTTGTCCTACCTACTAAGTGAAGACACTCCCTCCTGGACACTGTATGCCCTACCTACTGAGTGAAGACATTCCCTACTGAATACTGTTTGTCCTACCTACTAAGTGAAGACACTCCCTCCTGGACACTGTATGCCCTACCTACTGAGTGAAGACATTCCCTCCTGAACACTGTATCCCCTACCTTCTAAGTGAAGACACTCCCTCCTGAACACTGTTTGTCCTACCTACTGAGTGAACACATTCCCTACTGAATACTGTTTGTCCTACCTACTAAGTGAAGACACTCCCTCCTGAACACTGTATGCCCTACCTACTGAGTGAAGACACTCCCTCCTGAACACTGTATCCCTTACCTTCTAAGTGAAGACACTCCCTCCTGACACTGTTTGTCCTACCTACTGAGTGAACACATTCCCTACTGAATACTGTTTGTCCTACCTACTGAGTGAAGACACTCCCTCCTGAACACTGTTTGTCCTACCTACTGAGTGAAGACACTCCCTCCTGAACACTGTATCCCCTACCTTCTAAGTGAAGACACTCCCTCCTGAACACTGTATGCCCTACCTACTAAGTGAAGACACTCCCTCCTGGACACTGTATGCCCTACCTACTGAGTGAAGACATTCCCTACTGAATACTGTTTGTCCTACCTACTAAGTGAAGACACTCCCTCCTGGACACTGTATGCCCTACCTACTGAGTGAAGACATTCCCTCCTGAACACTGTATCCCCTACCTTCTAAGTGAAGACACTCCCTCCTGAACACTGTTTGTCCTACCTACTGAGTGAACACATTCCCTACTGAATACTGTTTGTCCTACCTACTAAGTGAAGACACTCCCTCCTGAACACTGTATGCCCTACCTACTGAGTGAAGACACTCCCTCCTGAACACTGTATCCCTTACCTTCTAAGTGAAGACACTCCCTCCTGACACTGTTTGTCCTACCTACTGAGTGAACACATTCCCTACTGAATACTGTTTGTCCTACCTACTGAGTGAAGACACTCCCTCCTGAACACTGTTTGTCCTACCTACTGAGTGAAGACACTCCCTCCTGAACACTGTATCCCCTACCTTCTAAGTGAAGACACTCCCTCCTGAACACTGTATGCCCTACCTACTGAGTGAAGACACTCCCTCCTGAACACTGTATCCCCTACCTTCTAAGTGAAGACACTCCCTCCTGAACACTATATGCCCTACCTACTGAGTGAAGACACTCCCTCCTGAACACTGTATCCCCTACCTTCTAAGTGAAGACACTCCCTCCTGAACACTATATGCCCTACCTACTGAGCGAATACATTCCTTACTGAATACTGTATATCCTACCTATTGAGTGAAGACATTCCCTACTGAACACTATATGCCCTACCTACTGAGCGAATACATTCCTTACTGAATACTGTATATCCTACCTAATGAGTGAACACATTCCCTCATGAACACTGTATGCCCTACCTACTGAGTGAAGACACTCCCTCCTGAACACTGTATGCCCTACCTACTGAGTGAAGACACTCCCTCCTGAACACTGTATCCCCTACCTTCTAAGTGAAGACACTCCCTCCTGAACACTATATGCCCTACCTACTGAGCGAATACTTCCTTACTGATTACTGTATATCCTACCTACTGAGCGAAGACATTCCCTCCTGAACACTGTATTCCCTACCTACT